GAATTGAGAGATACATTTGCAGTTCAATATCGGCTGAAGATAGAGATGAAATCTCAATATCATCATCAAAAAAAGAAAACATATCCATCTTTAGATTTTGTCTAATATTTGATAAGTTAGTATGTTGAGAAAGATTAATTCTTTTACATAATTCTTGCATCACTTCTTGTTGTATTGTATGAGATGCATCTGACAACATTTTGAAATGATAATCTAGTACTGTAGCTAACCATCCAACCATTTTTGGATTATCCTATCAGGATGCCATTGATGAGTAAAGACTTTGATATGTTTCAATAACAGGTAGATATACAAGCTGATCTTTTATTTGGTCCAAAATTTTCAAAAGATGATGTACAATTAGGTACATCATGCTTAATGTCGGGTATTGGTCACCACTCATAAATACTGATGCACGTGCAAAAGAATATAATAAACGACATAATTCTTCTAAGCTACACCATTCTTCATCTGTAAGCATTTTCTCTTTTAGAGTATTGCTATCAGCACGAACTATTCGGTCAGGATCATCTAGTAAATCTACAACTAATTCAAAAATTGAATCATGAAGATCAAAAAGTCTTTGAAGAACTAAGTAGGTAGAATTCAACCTAGTAGCAATGTCACTTGATATGGGATCCAAAACACGAGTAGGTTGATTTGTTAAATCTGTGGTCTTTTTTTTTTCAATTACTTCACTTTGAATTTTGTAAAATCGAGATCTGTATTTGTCATAATTAACTAAAAAATTATTTAGCGATTTTGCACGTTCAACTAAATGCTCACTTTTTTTTAAACCATCAGTTATAATAAGATGAATTATATGCGCTGTACAACCAAGATGTGTAACACCTAGTTGCCTAATTGCCTTTTTCATAGATGCCGCATTATCTGTTATCACAATGTTAAGCTTATTAAATATTTCCCATTCTGAAAGAACTTTTCTTAGAAAATCTTCAATTCGATTTCCTGTGTGTGGATAAACAAATTTCTCAATTGTAATTAGAGATTTATACATTTTAAAGTCATCTGAAAGCCAGTGAGCTGTTGCACCAATATATGGAACATGGTTTTGTGTTCACAGATCAGTTGTAATACAAACGGATGTCATTGTTTTATGTATCATTTCTTTCAATGTAGTACTTATATAAAATACTGACTCTATGATTAAATTTTTAATTGTATTTGTGCAAGGAACATCAAATCGCAAATTAATTTCATAACAAAAATCATGAAAGCGATCATGGTTAATACAATCTAAAGGTATCATAGCCTCAACTATCCAGACAACAAGCTGGTAAGCAATACGAGCTTGTTTTTTTTTAGGAAGGGGTGAACTATTTTCTACTTGTTTTTGAATAATTGATTCAATTGTTAGTTGAGAAACTGTTATAGAATTCATAGGTGTAGTTGATTGCATTTTCCATTTTTGATGTTTAAAGATCCGATGTTTAGTATGAAGATGTGCTGCAATACTAGAAGTTGATATACTAGGTTTGAAAGTTGTTTTGCATTGCTCAGATGTACCATTACCCTTATCCACATTTACTAAACAACGTTTAATTTTAGTTAACTTATCTCAGCGAGTATATGTCCACACCCAGCTTTTAACTGGTTTTTTTTTTTTTGTTTTAAGATTTGTCAATTTTGTAGAAGCTTCTTGTAAAGGAAAATATAATATAATAGATGGTGATTGGACTATAGTGTTATCTTCATCTTCCACAAGGATATCTTCACTAAAACCACTTTCTTCATTATTGCTTTCATTTTTTTCATTATTAAAGTCATCAAATTCGAAGTCTCTATATAATATATCTTCATCAATAATTGTTTCTTCAAACATTTTTTATTTTAGGAAGATTATGACAGCTATGAATTATCATTTATATATAATTATACGAATATTTTAATGCATTAAAGGTATGTACAGTATATACAAAGGTTTGAAAACAATTGATTGTACATTTTTTAAGAATTTTTATTGTTATTAAAACAATAAAAATTCTCTAAATATATATATATTTGAACTAGAGTATACAGACTTATGTGATTCAGAGATTTTTTTACTTGAAATTATATAAGCCTGGATATTATTTGAACGTTTTAACTATTTTTAAGAAATTACTTCTCCAAAATATTGATTATCTGATGCATATTCTAGTGAATATTTAATTCGAGTAAGCCCTAATTATGTATATTTTCATTAATAATAATTAAACCCTCTTCTATTAATTATAAGTAGAATGTACTAAACTATGTTTATAATATATGAAACTTTTGGGCTTTATTATTATATTTTTGATAAAAAAAAATTATTTTGAGTAATTATGTATATCGGCCATCTATATATTATATTGATGCAACATTTGGGAGTTAGTAACTAGCACTTTGGGTTGTTTTGGCTAAATTATCTGTTGGGAAGAAAAAATGAACCATACAAAACTCTTAGTTATTGTAAGATATTGACCAAAAAAAAAAACTTACTGTATTTAAATAATATTGATGCAGTATTATGCAAGTTTCAATTTAATCAAAAAATTTAAACTATATCGATATGTTTGGGTTTACAAATACTTTATTGAACCATATAATCATTAAACAAGGCATTACTTCATTCAAAGCCAAATTTGGTTTTATAAATTTTGAAAAGTTAAAGCGTTGCTTTTGTATTATTGTCTTCAAGTAATGATTTTTCTTTTTTTTTTTTTTTGGTGTTAAGGTGGGATCTTGCCCATAACTTTATTTATTAATAATACTTTACATGTATCATCACATCTTCTGTATTATATATATCAAGTACACCAAGCTCAGACCTGGATCCTATTGGTAACCTATGCTCTAGCCGAAACCATCATTTGCGCGATAGGTGTCCCCATCCGCTACCGGCCACCGATCTAATTATCTGCAATCCAAACCTACCAGAGTGGCACGTCATCATCGACCTACTCACCCGGTATTTTACCACCCTTTACGAGTCCTATTTCGGTACACTTCTCTATGACATCATTTCCCACATCTCTTATACTACTTATACCTAAGCTCCCAAATTTGGTAATCCCTCCTAGAATATGGCCTTGTAGCCTCAAGCACTACTTCCAATCTTGGTTATCTTCAGCTAGCCTGCTCAGATGAGTCCTACAAGTAGGCTCCATGCTGAACCAGGATAAGCCTCGTCATTAATGCTTAGTTTAGTTAGTATGCTGCCAATTCCCGTTACCTTATAGGTAGGTACTCCCGTGTGTTGGTACAGGCTGCCGTGTTGCGTTATAGATTGCCTATAACTTCCAGATTGCGGGTTTCGTATTGTAATACTTCCAATTTCAGTGTTTGGTGTTCCTTATCAATTTCTGG